AGTCCTTAACCAAATTTCTCCAGTTTCAAAACAAAAAGCAGCTAACAAAAAGCAGTAAGACAGTAAAATTAAAAAAATTTTTTTGCGAAATAATTAGTCGTTAAAGTTGAACTTTTCTTCTTTCAAAGAGGAATTGTTAAATTACATATAAAGAACACGATGAGTAAGCACCGTTAACACGGCCTCCGTATTTGGTTCATTTAAACTTATTCGGGGAGTTAGCAATATAAAGATAAGTTTAACATGTGCATCGATTTGGGTAAGTTTTTCAGCCACGTCAACGAAGAAGCGAGAGCTGAATCCTGTTATACATATGAGTTTCGATTTTGATGTCAGCATATTCTATAGCAACAGACAGATAAATTATTATAAGTTGGTGTAACAATTATTAAACACTATTAGCTGTAATAATATTCGGTAAAGGTATCATTATTTTAGAAAATTACTTTAATAAGAAAATTTTAGGATAATAAAAATAAACCGGCTTTATAGCTTAAATTTAAATCTTTTGATTTTTTAGAACAACAATAAGGCAAAGAAGTTACCGTTAACATAGCAAGGGCTTTGCTCTCACCTCCACTACGATGAAAACAATAATCAGTAATTTTCTGATGAACAACGTTGTTTGGCTGTAACCCTGTAAGACAGTGACTGAATAATTTTTGTAAAAAAGATATAAGCTGACAGAAACAACTTTACGATAGTACGTTTATATGTTTTAAAGTCTAAAAGGCAGAAGCAGCTACACCAATTAATTGGTAAAACAGTTGAAGCAAAAATGAAAATCATACACCACTGAAGAGCTTTGGTAGAAAATCGGCACTGGGAAAAGGAAACTGCTTGAACTTTGCGCAATATGCCAAAAATGTCGATCAAATCTAGTGAAAAATGTAACTAAATAAAATTTTTAAACTGCGTTAAATGATTTTTAAGCAAATAACCTTAGCTTTTTTTGCATATTTGGAAAAAAAACTCAAGACAAGATAAATTTCTATTCTTGTAAAACTGACTTCAGATAAAATTATTTAAGGTGTTTGATTGTAAGCTGCTTGTGCTCAAAAAAAAAAAGCTATTAATTGTATAAACACTTACCCGATTAAATCGTAAGGTGGTTATTTGGTTTCTAAACCTGTACAAAAGACTGCTCAGACCAGCTCTAACGTTACGGACTGCTTCTGAACTAATCCATCCAACTGCCGCCATTTGCAATCGAAACACAACAACATTGGTGGCAATTTTGGCTT